TGTTATTATTATAATAATCCTCCATGCAGTGTTTGTTTTTTACTACTTGATAATGAATCACATTATTCTGGCATATTTAGGAATGCTTTACTTTTCATTATGTTGCAGTACACCATATCTCTGCATTTTCCCGAATATAATAGGACAGCGTGTCCAGGAATCCATGCGGCGCGTTGATCCAGGTGGAGTTTTGATTCGCACTCTGCAGCTGAACCCAAGAAGGCGCAGGAAGTACTTTGTACCAGCACCGAACAGTTTATGGCACATCGACGGAAATCACAAACTGATTAGGTATAGTATAATGATTAACACTCTCAAGCATTGCTCAAACATCCACTTCACTACAGTTACAAAAGATGGGCCCATCTAAAGTGTTATAATCAATCAGCTTCAATGCAAACCAGACTTCAAGATTCAAAGGCTTTATTGTCATATGCATGATAGCTTTTTTTATTGGTTGGTTATGAAAATCTGAAGTCTCAGTCTCCTCTAACAATGCAACATACAATATTCTGTAGACATAAAAACAAGTTAAAACACTGCAAGAAGAAATATAAATAAAATATAAATGAAATGTATTAAATTATTAATTGCACCAAATTCCTCTGCATGCAAATTAGTTTTACTATCAAAATTAAAATGATTTATGTTTTGTAATTATAACTTTTAGTAGGATAAGGCCTTTTAAATGTGTAAATGTCTGTACATACATTAGTGGATTGACCTTAATGTGTGCCTATACATATCCCTTTAGGTGGCGTTTTGTTGTGCATGGTGGTATTGACGGCTTTAGTCGTCTCATCGTGTACTTGAGTGCTGCCACCAACAATCGGGCAGCAACAGTTTTAAGAAGCTTTTTGGAAGCCGCCAATGTCTACGGTGTGCCATCACGTGTGACGTCAGATAAAGGTGGAGAAAATGTTGACGTTGCACGCTACATGGTGGCAAACCGAGGAGAGAACAGGAATTCACACATTGCTGGCAGGAGTGTCCATAATCAAAGGTACCTTAAACTTCAAGTCAAACTTTTATCAAATTAAGTCTTTGGTACAGATTGCAATGTCAACTATATGTCTTTAGCTATTTAGCTATTATTAATTTTGTCTTATTTTGGTTCGTCTTCCTCTGTGAGATAAAACCATAGAAATAAAAAAGTTATATTTCTATAATACAAACACTATAATTATGACACCAACTGTATAATTTGACAAGAAGGATAACAATATTTTTCAAACATCTATTTAGTGGAAGTCCCAGCACGTTGCATGACTGGGCAAATTACTGTTGGAACTTGGATTTTGAATGTATTTTCCAGTCAAGAGAACCTTACATTAATATTGAACCACAACAGTTAATGTGGCATAAATATGGCATTAGTCCGTCCTTTTTTATACATCCATATGTTCAGCTGATATATTTCCTGATCCAGTTTCAACAAAGCTTACAGTAGAAAAACCTCACCCAAGTTTGATGAACTTTGCTCAAGCAAAATGTTGTTTGCTAAATCCAACTTCCAGCTTTTTTCCAGAGGCATTATTGTGCACTTGCCACTTAATCAGGAACATGTTCCTATTGAAATCGGCAAAAATGTTAATACTTAGCTTCTAATTAATGTAATTCAATTCTAATTTACTTACCATTTATGGTATAGGTGAAAGGTGATATTTTGCATGTATGTTATTTTTTTTTGTTCACTTAGCAGACTAAATATATTCCTTCTATTCCTTTTTCCTCTAGAGAGACGTTTATGTGGGAGTGCTGGATCTCTTCTACACAATGTTTTTCAACCTAGAGAGAGAAGGCCTTCTCAATCCTGACTGTGAAGTGCATCTCTATGCTCTGCACTGGTGCTTTGTGCCCCACATACAGAAGCACCTGCAGTTTTTCCAGGAAGGCTGGAACTGCCACCGACTAAGCACTGAGGGAAACCGGTCCCCACTGCAACTGTGGACTCGCCATGAGCGTGAGGCCCAGCAGGAACCTATACAGGTTTGATTGTATTCAATAGTTTTATTTTGACTTTACTTTCCTACATTTTTTCTGTCATTACACAAACTGTTTAAAACAAATAATACAAGGGAGGTCCATTCCAAAGTGCATATAGTTGCACAATGTAACAAATAGTGGCCTGTTGTCGAGGAAACTGAATGTGATGGAATTATTTTATTCTGCATATCATCGGCACTTTAAACACTTCTATGAGGTATTCCTAAAATGCTGTGATCAACCAGAACAAGCAATTAAGGAAGATAATGATACATCAGGGCTTTCTGCTCTCTCTAATTATTTGATTGATGTCATAGCTGTTCATGAGACATTAATCAGGAATTCCAGGAGATGATACAAAACTTTAGGTTATATAAAATGAATTAACTGACATATATATTAAAACTTTGATTTTGGTTGACTAACTTTAGCTCTTGCAATTGCAGGTTGACATTGAATTTGGAGTTGACTGGACTGGACCATGTGCTCATCGCCAGCCTCATGTTGTGGTTTCTGAAGTTCAGCTGCAACGTTCACTGACTGACCAGGAAGTGGAAAGACTTCCAGACCCTGATGGCCCTCTGTCCAATGTGTGGAATGTCTATGTACAAACTGTGAGCTTATTGACTGAATTGCTACAGTAACGGAGCGTCCACACTACAGCTTCAAAAAAAGCTTGGAGCTGGGCGTGTCTGAAGCTTGGGGATTTTATTCGAGCAACGCGACCAACAACCAATCACATGAATCTCCCGCCCCCGACATACAAAGCAAAAAACCCCGGGGATTTTATGCGAGCAATATATATATATATAAACTCCCCAAACAGGCGAAAACCTACCAGTTTCACCCACTGTCTCTGCCACCTCCCTCCATGACTGGTTCTTCCGGTTTGTATCCCGGTAGGTGAAGAGGGTCTGGTCATACAAAACCGGGTGATTTGCTACGGCGATAATTAGTTTCTCCTCCATGTTTTTTTTAAATATAGAAATGAACGGCGGGATATCTCTCCCAGCTTAGACGCGGTTTGATTGGCTAGGGCTTGAGCTGTCAGATTTTCAGAAACGGGATTTGATTGGCTGGCGCTGGCTACTCCGGCGTCAGAAGTTGAACATTGTTCAACTTCTGACGCCGGAGACGGACCTGAGCTACCCACAATTCAGTTCGGCGAAAAGCCAGGCAACGTGACGTCACCCCATTCAAAGTGAATGGGCAGACGCGTTGGAAACCGTTTTTGAAGCTGTCGAAGCTGTAGTGTGGACGGCCCGTAAATGTGTGTGTGTATCAAAAGGCTGTTGCTGTGGGAAATGTAGTCTTTTAAAGTTTCGACTAGGACGATTAGGTGACAATATTTGAGTGAGTTACATGAAGACGCTGGTACCAAGATTCAGTATATTTCGATTTTAATACAATACAAATTAAATTGTAATGAAATGACGTTCAGTAGTCATTTTAAACATGTGTTGCACTGAACCATATGCTTGTGAATCAACACTTACTGTAATGCATCAAGAAATATACATTTGTTACAGTTAATGAACATTTTGTAACCAATATCAATTTAAAACTTTGAAAATATATAAAGATAAACATGCTTTCTTTGTTATATGCAATAACAAGGAAAGCATGTTTATCTTTATATATTTTCAGTGTTACACAAACTGGCCGGAGTAGGCATTAACTGAGTTTTTTTTCCTCTCTGAAAACATACATTTTTGTCCGGCCAAACAAAAGACAACAAATCTTACACAAGTACTAAGGTGTGTCCGTCTCTTCAGACCATTCCGAACCCAGTTTCAGTGCTCCAAATAGCAGAAAGAATGTCCCTTTCAAACGTACAGTACTCTTTGTAATGTCCTGGAAGTTTCAGCTGGTGAAAGCATGTGGAAGAGCTGGGGAAGTTGCTCTCCACCACGGTCACATCCAGGCCATGTCTAGGAAGCACATTCCATCCTATCCAGAACTGCACAAGTTTAAATACTTGTCCTAGTCACACTGTCCTGTGACTAGAGGCAAATCACAGGACAGTGCCAACTCATTGATGAGGTTTTTTTCTTCTGATGATAATTCTGCTGTTCCCTCCAGCTAATAATGGCAAGTAGAATGAATTTGATAAGAATCGTTAATTTCTCAATACTTGTATAAACATTCAACTTTGATACAACATAAGAAGTTTAACTTATAATCAGCATGTTAGTAGTTGGTAACCTGTAAAAGCTATGTTTTGTCAAAAAACATCTTATAGGAGGACATCTGTAAGTGTTCTAATGATATTTAATATATCAGTGCATGGTGTTTTATAATGCTTCAGTACCCCCTGCTGGTGCAAAGTGTAGCCACATGATGTTAACAGTATCTGAAAGTAGATCAGCTAAATAAATAATATCCAAAGGTTGAATAATAAAATAGGTTAGAAAACACACCAACTTGATTTTCTCACGGATATCAAGGTCAACACAGTCCTTAATATCTATTGTGGCTTCATCCGGGGATCCACCAAAGAGCACATGCAGGATAGCTGGGCTCAGTCCACCTAGGCATGGCCCATCATGGAGGAATGAATGTCCAATCATTCGGCTAGCAACAACAAAGAAATCACTCTCCAAAAGGAGATGAGAAGTGGAGGGAATCAGATGATCTTGTTCTCCTTAAAAAAGAAGAGTTCCTCCAGGCACTTGAAATATAGGAAAACAGTCAAAGTAAATTGATAGTTAAGTAAAGGACATAGATATTCAACTATCACAAAGCATTAGTAAAGGAATTATCAAACCGCCACTGGATAGTGGTTGATCCTGTAGAAACCTACATGTTCACAGCAGCTACAATCACATCAGGTTTTAGGAATACGTTTTGTTTTCTGGGGTTAAGGGACAGATCTGTTTTCAGCCTGGAACTGGTACAAAAACACACATAACTTAGTGGCTGAGACCCAGCGATCAGCCATAGTAAATATTTACTTACCAAACTTCATCTCAAAACCAGCCTGAAGTTTTGACATGATGGTTGCAAAGAAATGTCGAGTCACACCATCACCAATCGCTGGATCTCCTGAAAAATGTAAACACACACTACAGACATCAGTTTGACGAAAATATGGTTTGTTCATTTTTTTATCTTAGGTTTTGTTTGTAACCGAATTACCCTTAAGTGTGCATGTCAAGGGGCAAGCCCACTCAACATTTGCCTTCTTATAAAAAGTAAGGACTGCTCTTTCCCTTTCCTCTGCACTGTCTCCAAGATCCATAGTAAGACACAAGGATTTTCCAGTTGCATGCTGGCTTAAAATGTCTTCTTTAAACATCTTTGCTGCCTCTGTGGGATCTGGCGCTATTTTCCAATCTAAAAATAGTTTAAAAGGTTTCCAAATTAATATTGGATCAAGTGAAATGTAGAGAGCAACAACTTATTGCAATACATGATGTACTTAATAAAGGATGTTACACACCAGAGAAGCCACTTTCCTCAGTGGGATCGATGTCAACTACCTCAGGAGAAGGCAACATTTCCTGAGGTGGCACCGAGTGTCTTGTGTTCCTGGCCCTTGTTGTCTCATTTCCCTGTGCTCCTGTGAACGTGCTTTCAAATCTAACTTGACTTCCGGAGGCCCTTTCAGTTGTCAACTCAATCCGTACCTCAGCGCTGCTCTGTGATGGTCTAGTGTAAAAAGAGGTCATTTCTGTTACTCGGTCTAGTATACTTTACATTACATATCGCACTCTAGAAAAAGATGGGCATATAAATAGAATGACAAGTAAACCAAATGTTACTTTTCCTCAAAACCAACATCCAGAATGTATATCTTTAATATTTAAATGTTTATAGAGGACAGCAAAATATGGCGTTACAGAGGGATTGTTGGAACAAAAAGTACTAATATCTGGCCCCATAATTATAAAACCTCAGATGTGCTGATATGTCAAAAATATTTTACATCCATTTGCAGCATCCCACAGCCTTATGCTTATTTGTTAATGTGTGTCTACACATGCAGTTGCAGTGTGCCTGACGAATGTGATGTTTAGTTCTGTAGAGAGTAATACCTCATGCAGTTATTGCTGTGATCCTTGATTCTGGAAAAGGGGAACTCCTCTCCACAGATGACACATTTCTGATTTGGTCCAATTAACACGTTGTCGCCTTCTGATCGACATGCCTGTAAACAAAATAGTTTAAAACTACATCACAAGCGAACAATTATGTTACTATAAGTCACAGATTCCACTTTAATATTGTGACACCACTATAGAAGTGAGGAACTTACAGGGTCCAAATTCAGGGTTATTTGCATTGGTCTAATGAAAACCGTAGAATGGCCAATCTGGGTCTGAGGGTCCTTCAAATATCTGACATAGTAACCCTCATTGGTAAATGGTAAATGGACTGTACTTATATAGCGCTTTATCCAGTCTTTACGACCCCTCAAAGCGCTTTACATACTACATGTCATTCACCCATTCACACCCATTCATACAGAGCGGTACCACTTGCTCTAGGACCTAACATTCACACACATTCACACACCGTTGGCCATGCCATCGGGAGCAACTCAGGGTTAAGTATCTTGCCCAAGGATACATCGACATGTTGACTGCACGGGCTGGGATCGAACCCACAACCTTCTGGTTGAAAGACGACCGCACTCCCTCGCAGCCACAGTCGCTTGGGACAGAGGACAGGGGATCACAATCAAGTGGTGACTTCTTGTAGTGCCAGATATTTTTAGCAACTCGAAACCGCCACCGTTCCGCAGATTTGGATAGGCATCCATCAAGAATTCGAGGAATTCATTTGAATCTGTATGGCTGCCTAGAAATAGATGATACACATAAGACATCTAACATAAAGATAATGTTATGATTGTAAGGGTAACTCAATATATTTATGTCACAAATGTACATTTACCATAAAAAATACACAGAAAAGGAAAGAGCGATTGATAATCGTCATTATTATGACTGACAGACCTTTAAATGTTAGCCGTTTTTCCCCTAAGCCAGCAGCAGCAGCGAGTCTTTCTTTGGCGTATCGGTTGGGGCGTATGCTGCATTCTTGTCCTCAAGGCAACAGAATAAATGGGTATAAGAATGCAGGTGTGCAGGACCAGAAAGGGTTTGCCGCCCTGCCGTCCTCCTCCCTCCCATGTAGGGGCCAAACAGTCTTGAAACTTCGGCTAGGATCAAGTTAAGAAGATAAGCAATATTGAGTGCAAGGAAATAATGATTCAACGAGAATCCAGGGGGAAAATGTTGGTTAGCATTAGCATCACACACTATAAATATAATGATCCCTTCAAGCTGGTGGACAGAAACTGAATCAAATAACTTGTCATTGGCGATATAAACTTAGTACACTGATCGGATTTGCATTAAAAATAGTTTGATGCAAAGACCTACCGTCCACTGGGTGTCTGGGAATCCCGTTATGTAACGGATGAGGAGGAGGAGACGAAACTGGCACGTTACGGAGCGTCCACACTACAGCTTCAAAAAAAGCTTGGAGCTGGGCGTGTCTGAAGCTTGGGGATTTTATTCGAGCAACGCGACCAACAACCAATCACATGAATCTCCCGCCCCCGACATACAAAGCAAAAAAACCCGGGGATTTTATGCGAGCAATATATATATATATATAAACTCCCCAAACAGGCGAAAACCTACCAGTTTCACCCACTGTCTCTGCCACCTCCCTCCATGACTGGTTCTTCCGGTTTGTATCCCGGTAGATGAAGAGGGTCTGGTCATACAAAACCGGGTGAATTGCTACGGCGATAAATAGTTTCTCCTCCATGTTTTTTTAAAATATAGAAATCAACGGCGGGATATCTCTGCCAGCTTAGATTGCTTTGATTGGCTAGCGCTTGAGCTGTCAGATTTTCAGAAACGGGATTTGATTGGCTGGCGCGGGCTACTCCGGCGTCAGAAGTTGAACATTGTTCATTGTTGCATTCAGTTCGGCGAAAAGCAAGGCAACGTGACGTCACCCCATTCAAAGTGAATGGGCAGACGCGTTGGAAACTGTTTTTGAAGCTGTCGACGCTAGTGTGGACGCAGCGTCAGTGGTCCTTGGTGCTGCACAAAACATAACATAGCGCCATATTGGGTACAAAACTGTACATTGACATTTTAACACAGATCAGTTTTTTTACATTGTCATATCAGTCTTACACAGTGGTGTAGTGGGGATTTTTTTACTGGGGGGATGCTATTTTAATTAGGTCATCCCAAACAATGCCACACAAGTGCGCACGCGCGCAGTGCACTCACAAAACGGGCAGACAGGTCCACAGAAACTACCGGTATGCTTAGTCCTACTTTAGTTACTGTACTGCAAAAAGCAGACGGCGCTGCGCTCAACACACACACTCTCAAAACCATGGACACACTGGCACATAAGTTACAACAATGTATAGGCCTAAATTGCATAAGCTACAACTAAGCAGACAGCGCTGCTTCTCTCTATCTCCACTTTCAAAATCTATTTAAAACTCATAACAAACAAACAAAATTCCCAAAGTTGTCCTGAAATTAACTTATTAAATAAACGAAACGAAAAATATAGCCTACTTATGCAAACATTGAATCTGGACTTGAAATTATTCTGATTAGGCCTAGCCTACATTGCAAATAAGCAGACAGCGCTGCTTCGCGCGCGCACACACGCACACACGCACACACGCACACACACACACACACACACACACACACACACACACACACACACACACACACACACACACACACACACACACACACACACACACACACACACACACACACACACACACACACACACACACACACACACACACACACCCACACACACACACACACACACACACACACCTTGCGTTTTGAAGACTGATCAATCCGAAATGGATGAACAGCAGCCCAGTTTCCCATCTTTGCAGTCTATCCACGGGTAGCCTCTTGTTTCCTCTGCCACATGTCCTCCGTCCATACCTCTGGGAAAGGTGAGCTTGAGCTAGCCAGGGGAACGTTGCTAGCGCAGCTAACGTGCACGTTAGCTAGCATTATTCACGTCTTTAGGCGGCTCTTCTGATGATGTAGTACTAGTAGCAGCTTCACTTGTAGCTTCGGTGCTGCTAGCCTCTTTCTTCTTGTGAATTATATTCTTTTTAGAAAAGAAGTCAAGTAAAAAACGTTTTCCTTCCATTATAGAGCTTTTTCGTTAGCGTTCTTGAGGGAAAGAGCTGCAGCAAAATCGGCAGGCGGTGAGCTGGCCGTGGGTGTGTCACTGACACACCCCCAGCTCGCCGCGGGGTCACGAGCGTGATGACGAATCATCATTTTTGAAGGAACTCGTTTTTATTTTTTAATATAGGCCATTACTGTGAAATGTATTATGTTTTTGTCATTATTACAACAAATACACACTTGCAACTGATAAGCCTGGCAATGATTTTATATTTATTAGACTATTAAAAAAAAGATCATGCTCCAAATAAGTGGGGGTACGGCGTACCCCGCGTCCAACGCCCACTACACCACTGGTCTTACACTAGACCTAAACATGAGTCACTTACAGTTTTCAAGTTGGTTAGCCGCATCCCGCAGAAGGTCTGCCAGCGCCCTTCCAGCCGAAGCCATTATTAGCGAGTTGCCGTGGGTGTACACCGTACACAGAATGTACAGATGTGACTTGCCACAAATCTATTGCTTCTGCCTGGCTCCAACAATTGGCGAATCCTGCTTCAGACTGAGGTTAGGACCGCCCACCTCATTAGCATACGGACACATAAATAAATAAATGTATGTCGCGTAAATGTAGAAATAAATGAAAGATATATAATAACGTGTGTACTGTTTTATTTTTGACTTTTATTTATTTATGCATTTATTTATTTATTCTTTTATTTATTTATTTGTGTATTCATTTAAACATTTATTTATTTCTGTATTTATTCCTGTATTTATTTATTCCTGTATTTATTTATTTATTTACGTATTTATTTATTTATTCCTGTATTTCTTCATACATTTATTTACACATTTATTTATTTATTTATTTATACTTAAGTCATGTTCTGTCCTCCATAGTATCGTACCGACCGGCCTAATAAAGGTGGTGGCGTTGCCATTTATGTTAAGAATAAGTTCAGTGTATCCACATTAGTTTCCAAATCTATCAGTAAGCAATTTGAATTTTTAGCCTTAAATATAGAAGTGGCAAAGGGTCAACAGGTCATGGTCGTGGGCTGTTACAGACTGTCAAAGACTCCTTGTCTTCGCTAGCAAATATTTTATCGCAACTCGAATACAAGGAAATAGTGCTGGAGATTTTAACTGGGACTGGTTAACTACAGTGTCAGAGGATTTAAAAAACCTTTGTATCTCTTTAAATGTTACTCAGATTGTTGACAGTCCTACTCGCCCTAATATTAAGTCCCCAAATAAATCCTCCCTAATTGATCTCATTCTAACTAATATTCCCTATAAATACTCAGCTGTGGCAGTATTTGCGAATGATCTGAGTGACCACTGTGTTGTAGCCACAATTAGGGACACCAAAGTCCAAAAGGTTAAACCTCGTATTATCATCAAGAGAGACATAACACATTTTGTGGAGCAGGGTTTTGTACATGATCTGTTTGGGTTTGATTGGGGAAAAATCGATTTATGTGCTGATGTTGAGACTGCATGGTCTTATTTTTATCTTAGTTTTATGGAAATTATAGATAGACATGCACCCCTGCGTACATTTAGAGTAAAGAGACGAGACAATCATTGGTTTTCTGCTGAACTATCTAGTCTCCTACATGAGAGAAACAAGGCCTGGGCAAAGGCTAGGAAATCAGGCTCAGAGGTAGAATGGCTGCGTTTTAGGCAGCTAAGAAATAGCTTCACTTCACATGTCAAAAGTGCTAAATCTAAGTATTATCTGTCAGTTACCACAAATAACCTGAATAACCCTAGAAAATTCTGGAAAGCCATAAAATCAATATCCACCGGTGATATCCGTAATGAGCTATACCTCCGTGCCTTACCACAGCATCTGGCACTATATCGGATAGGGCTAGCTACCATGTTAAATTGTTTTAATGAGCATTTTGTGTCCTGTGGCTCTCTGTTTCATTCTGTTTCTAATTCTGCTTCTGTGAACACCACAGTCGGTGACTGAGAACAATGTGTTCTGGAAAACCCTTTCAGTTTTACTCTTTTTACTGTTGATGTTGTTCGTGAAGTCTTAACCAAGCTAGATCCTAAAAAGCCGGCTGGTCCGGACAACGTAGAACCTTTCTTTTTAAAGATAGCTGCAG